CTCAGGTCTGCCCCTCGTTCTCTCATGTCTGCCCCTCGTTCTCTCAGTTCTGGCCCTCGTTCTCTCATGTCTGACCCTCTTTCTCTCATGTCTGACCCTCGTTCTCTCAGGTCTGACCCTCGTTCTCTCAGGTCTGCCCCTCGTTCTCTCATGTCTGACTCTCGTTCTCTCAGGTCTAGCCCTCGTTCTCTCATGTCTACCCCTCGTTCACTCATGTCTGCCCCTCGTTCTCTCATGTCTGACCCTTGTTCTCTCAGGTCTGACCCTCGTTCTCTCAGGTCTGACCCTCGTTCTCTCAGGTCTGACCCTCGTTCTCTCAGGTCTGACCCTCGTTCCCTCAGGTCTCACCTGCCCTGAGTGGCGCTCACAGATGATAAGGAGTTGGCAACTGGGCCAGCATTGAGGCCCATCTCAGGAGGTTTGCAGTTGGAGTTGGGCCCCGGAGGCCCCATGCCCTGTCCTGCAGCCTGTGGCATGTTGGGGGAGGTGGGGGCCATTGAGCCGGCTCCGGTGGGGTATGGGCGGCCTCCAGTGTTGGGCCCGAGGCTGCGGCTTGCCGGGGTGGAGGGGCCCTGACCGTGCATAGGGCTGGTGGCATTCGGCCCCAAGCTGTTGGACAGTCCATGTCCTGGGCTGCTGTAGTTGGCACTGGGTGTCCCGCCATAGTGGGGGGGCCGAGGATAGTTACCTGGGGAGGCACAGACAAGACGTGAGACAGAGAAGGACTGGATCCTCTGAAGGTGTGGGTGTTTTAATCATACCTGGGGGGCTGAACTGGCTGTAGGAGTGGCTGCTCTGCTGGTAGGAGCTGTGGTGCATCGGCCCCGCCGGTGCTGGGTGAGGGGACATGGGGGGGACATCAAACTGGGAGCCCTGGGTGCTGCACTGCATGGAGGGGGGGAAACCTGAGGAAGAGCCAAAGATCAGAGAGCCGGAGGGAAGAAGATTGTTAGCTTAGCACAAACACTGGAAGGAAACTCCATCAAAGAAAACATAAAAAATAAACTCCTGGGAGCAAATAAAGAAGAAAAACTCTGTCCTGGACTCGTGGACCGTCTGATTCATGATCCTTTACTGAACTAATAATCCCACTGAGTTTAATGTTAATGTGTTTAAATCTGTGAATCACTCGACACGACGTGTAAAAACAAACAAACCTCTGTCAGGAGTCATGGCTGACTGGGACGAGTGAGGACCACCATCTGATCCACGACCACAGACCTGAGGGGTCAACTGAGACCCTGAGAGACACAGACCGTGTTGCTACAATGTTTCTGGGTCAGTCTCGAGTCATGGGACTAAAATCCATCATGCTCTTCTTACCTGGGCCGCTGGGGGAGGGGGACAGAGGTCCAGACCGCGACTGGCTGTCGGAGCTGGCGTGTGACGATGCAGAAGAGGGTCCCGTTCGAGCCGGAAGGGGGAGGCGGGATGAGATGTGGGGGGAGAAGGGTGAACGGGCCCCTGGAGACCCCTGGCTGCCCTGAGATCCGCTGGAACCAGAAGCCCCTGAGCTGATGGCGGCCTCAGTGCCGGTGGGGAGGTCATCGATGGAGCCGGACAGATCCTGGATCAGAGAGGAGGCAGAGGAAAAACTCAGTCACCATCATCATCATCATCATCATCATAACCAGTTATCTGAAAATCAGAGGGGCGGAGTCACATGACTGAAGTCTAACACTTTAAAATAACACAAAAATCATGTTAGGGTCCTCAAAATAAAGTTTTATTTTATTTAAACAGGTTTAAACGTCTTTAATACATAATGTGACGAGAAATGAAAGGACAGCAAGTCAGTCGAAACTGGAAATGTCTCAGGGTCTCCTGGTCTCAGGGTCTCCTGGTCTCAGGGTCCCCTGGTCTCAGGGTCTCCTGGTCTCAGGGTCCCCTGGTCTCCTGGTCTCAGGGTCTCCTGTCTCAGGATCTCCTGGTCTCAGGGTCTCCTGGTCTAAGGGTCCCCTGGTCTCAGGGTCTCCTGGTCTCAGGGTCTCCTGTCTCAGGGTCTCCTGTCTCAGGGTCTCCTGGTCTCAGGGTCCCCTGGTCTCAGGGTCTCCTGTCTCAGGGTCTCCTGGTCTCAGGGTCTCCTGTCTCAGGGTCCCCTGGTCTCAGGGTGTCCTGGTCTCAGGGTCTCCTGGTCTCAGGGTCCCCTGGTCTCCTGGTCTCAGGGTATCCTGTCTCAGGGTCCCCTGGTCTCAGGGTCTCCTGTCTCAGGGTCTCCTGGTCTCAGGGTCTCCTGTCTCAGGGTCTCCTGGTCTCAGGGTCTCCTGTCTCAGGGTCTCCTGGTCTCAGGGTCTCTGAGCACCAGGTGAATGTTCTGGTCTGTAAGGAAACACTCTTCAGTCTGTTAGAAAACTAAAAACAGAAGTTCTCCTCTTTTCTCTAAGAGTTTAAGATGATTTTTGTTCTGTAGCTGCAGCAGGTCACCCCCCCCACCCCCCCAACAACAAACACGATGTAAACAAACAAAGAAAAGATTGTTGTTGTTGCCACCCTGTTGTCTTGATATGTGATTATTAATCAGCATCACTTCACGGTTTCAACTGATTTTGTTGTGAACGAGACTTGAGGTTTGTTCCATGAAGCTGGACTCGGGACATCCTGCTCGTCTGAACGGACCTCACTGTGGAGGCTTCACCCAGACGACTTCAAGCCTTCAGTCTTTGCTCGGACAGAGTTCCTCCAGACGTGATGAGATGAATGTTCTGGATCGAGGTTCAGCTCAGATGTTTGAATATTTGTCCTTTTTACAGGAACATCAGCAGATCTGTGTCTCCTCTCCAGAACAGCTGGGTCATGTTTACAGTGTTGAACTGGGCCCGTTCTGGGACGATTTCTGTTCGGGTTCATATCCCATTAAAGCTGCTGGTCGACAGATGGAGCTGCAGGAAACGTGAGGACCAAAGAAACGAGAGGAAAGAAAACAACGGCAGAAAAAACAGGAAATGAAAGTAAAAACAGGAAGAAGAAAAAGTTCAACACCGTCTCCCATCTGATCTGAGCCAGCCAATCACAGCGCAGTAACCAGTCTTCCTGGATCCGCCCCTTGCCAACAGCTTCACCAATCAGCTGCCTGCTCTGCCCCCCCCCCCCCCCCCCCCCCCCCCCCCACACACACACAGATTATATGCTGCAGTGTGTTTGTCCATCTTTGTGAGGACAACCTTCATCAGCTCCTCATCATCTTCATCACATCGGACACACGTTTTCCTCATGATGACGATGGACACTGATGCATTCTGGGTCATTTGTAGCAGCAGCTTCTGTATCAAACTGGGTCCAGACCGTGTGTGAAGCAGAACGAGGCGGCAGATCGTCTCACATGATGAAACTTTCTGTCAGAAACGGTTCAAAGGCGAGACTCGGGTCGCCATGGCGACCTGCAGATCTCAAATCCAGCAGAGGTCCAATCTATACGGTAAATAATTACAGCTGGCAGCATTCATACAGAACCAGGGCCAAAGCAACAACTACATCAGAACCAACGGACCAGAACCACGAGGACCTCTGTCATCATCCATTGGTGTTCGTTCAGGAACAAACGTCCTTCTGAGATACGACCGACCAACTGGGACACATCTGGATTTCACAACAAAGACCTGAAGAACTTCCAGAGGTCCCATCTGGACGTTCTGGACACAACCAGCAGATACCAGCAGCTGATAGAAGATTAACCATGAAAACTTTCTTTGATAAGCTGAAAATCACAGTCAGCCAAACAAACAAACAAACAAATAAACAAATAAATAAAGCTACCAGGCTGTTTTACACATTTTGTTTAAACGTTTGAACACAAATGTGCAGAAATAAAAACAAGCGGATGCTTCATCCAGTCACAGCTGTAAAGTAAAAGTACTTTTTACTCTGATTACTTCTCCTTTGCTGATCAGTATTGCGTCATGAGCAGCAGGTTGTTTATTAGCTAAGAAAGCTTTTAGTCTCTTTGTGGTTTGCCGCAGGACTTCCTGCGTCCCTCCGACACACAGCTCCACCTACAAAACCTGAGGTGGGTTCTGACCCGAGCTCTGCCTCGTTCTTCTCCCCTGCTTTGACGATCCAGTCGGACTCTCCTGGACCATTTCATAAAGTTCAATGAGCTTCGCACTTCAGACCTCAGCGCTGAGGACATTTTTCACTGAAAACGTCATTCTTATTTGTTTGTGTTCAAATAAAAAGATGAAAAGTTTTTGCTGATCAAACACAAATGGCCTGAAGTCGTGATCAGTCGGATCAATCTGGACCGGCATCAGAAGATAAAACCTCTCAGCAGAACCAAACGGTCCCAGCATCAAACCCAACCGTCTCTGATGAGGCGGCAGCCAGAACTCTCATGAGTTCCTTCTCTTCCTCCTCCAGCAGCGGTCGCCACGGCAACAGCATCAGGACTCCCAACTTCAAAAGGAGCTCGGTGTGAGGAAGACGGAGCGGGAAGAGGAGGAAGGAGAAACAGAAAGAGCTGGAGGATGAAGGAGGAGATGAGGGAAGTGAAATGAGGACAGCTCACAGCTGGAGCTGCAGATGATTAAAACCGAGCAGCAGAACTCGCACACTTCATCTGGTTCTGAGGAGGGAAAACGTTAACGAGAGCAAATAAACTAAATAAAATACTTTACCTGACAAAACAACTATGTGAGCGCCGAGGCTCTGCCGAGGATGTTTCCATGATGTGATGAAGAACAACATTTATTTATCTATTTAAGGGTTTCTGTTCGATCTGTTCTCCAGACTTCATGATGATCTTTTACTTTTGTACTTCGGCTGCTTTTCCACTCAGTTTCAGCTGTTGTACCCGAACCTTTTCCACCGAACTCTGACTTCATTCAGGCAGAAAAAATCTCCTGAAGTCGACAAACGAACCAAAGTCAAGTCGACAAAAACTGACTCAAAGCTTAAATTTGTTCCCAGCAGCCTGACACACAAACACAATCTGTTCCTGTAGCCGAATCTAAAACAACAAACGTCTGAGAGGAACAAAATGTAGCTGAACGTGTGGCTCTCAAAGAGCTGAAAATCTGACATCAGCTGAAGGATGAAGCAGCTTTAAGATGGAGCTGAAACACCACAAAGATGCTCAGCATCACGGATGGGTCGGATAAAAACTGAAGCTGAGGGGAAAAAAGCAGCCGAAGTAAAAAGTAAAACCTTCAGGTGTGTGTGTGTGTGTGTGTGTGTGTGTGTGTGTGTGTGTGTGTGTGTGTG